ATCTATCTATCTATCTAATCATAATTGTCCTGGTTTTGTTTCTCTAGAGAGCCCTTCCTAATAAATAGACAGTTTTTTAAATGCACTTTATTTTTTAGTCATTTTAGGTTTATAGAAAAATCGCACAAAACACACAGTGAGAATTTCCATATGGTTCCTAGACCCAGGTACACACACTTATTAACATTTTGCATTAGTGTGATACATTTGTTATAATTAATTGATATTATTTTTAAATTAAAGCCTACAGTGGACATTAGAATTCACTCTTTGTGTTGTACAATTATCAATAGCTTTTCTTTTTTTCTTTCTTTTTTTTAATGTGTAAGGGGGAGCTTTATATCAAGAAGTAGTTATATATCAGGAAACCATCACAGCCCAGTCCACATCAGATCTATAAGTCTGACACTAGGCCATAAACCCCTTTGTAGACACACAGCCACAAGCAATGGCGCAGAATGCTGGAAGATCACAGGCCAGTGGGTGAAAATTCTTGTGGATCCAGTAGCTGTGGCCGCATCTCCGGGGATATTGCAGGTCTCCGAGTGACTTGCCAGCAGGAAGGTGAAAACAGAGAGAGGGGCTTCCCAGGATTCTCCTTAGGAGAAGGCCATGCCACCAGGAGGTACCATCCGGCTGTGACTTGATTGACAGGCTAGACTCTACCCATATCTTCTTAGGGGTGCCTTGTTGTCACAAAAACCTAACTTATCACACATGGTCATGAGTTGCCCCACCCCCAACCCACCCCCCAATCACACTTGCACCAAGGCAGCTGGATGGCTCCAGAACCAATTCTCATACCGATGGTTTCCCTCCTCCGGACGATTTGTTTCTGTCTTTGCCCCGTTTTAGACTTCATAAAAAGGTCTTTATAAAATATATTTGAGCGTGGAGTCTTTTCCACACTATAACAGGAGGACGGATCCAAGGAGTCCGAGCCACAGGACTAACTCTCAGTCCTGAGTGAGCTCTGACTTTTGTTCTCTCAAGTTCATGTAGATGTTCCTTCCCCGGGGGGCCTTGAGCCTTTCACACTAGTCGTCCGTCCGCAGCTTCCCCGAGGGCCATGTGCAGCGCTGAGGGCCATGTGTAGCGCCTGGTGTTCTCGCTGCTGCTGGTATCCAGCCCCAGAGCCCCAGTCACCTTCCCTTATCCAGGCACTCACTTTCACTCTGCCATGTGGGGGGACTTCTGGGCTCACCTGGTTTCCCCATCCTTGGGGAAAATTTCTCCTGTCAGTTTGTGACAGCAGTGGTTGGGCCAACCTTGTTAGTATCCTGTTTTGGAGGAATCACTGTCCTCTTGCTTGATAGTCAACATGTTAAAATTGTTTTTCATATATTTTGCCCTTCTTTGGGCTATTTCAGATGGGAAGGTAAAGGATGAAATACCTTTTGAGATTTTTATTTCTTTAAAGGGTTTGTGTTAGTCCAGGTAGACTAGCAAATACACATATGACTTTCTATGAATTTGTTTCTCTAGTCGACCCGGACTAACACAGGGTTCCCTTTCTTTAAGGTTTTACTGTGAATTGAGTGAAGGCTCACAGAGTCGATCACAGTTTACCTTCAGTGATGCAGACACCTTCTGCTTCACCTCATCCATCAATCCCTCCAAGTCAGCTCATCTATCCCGCCTCCTCCCTGCGTTTCCTGTCCCCATTCCTCCTTTCCTAGCCCTTCTGGATTTCGCCCTCGGGTAAATTCTGTCTCCTTGATCTGAAAGGATCCATTATTTTAAGGTGTGCACACATCCATAGTCCATAGTGTTATTAATTCCCTTATAGACCTATGTGTTGTTTGGATGAAAATTGAACCACAGGTATGAGTTAGGTTCCAGATGTGACGTCTGAGCAAGGACCGTAGTTTCAGGGATTCCTCAGGTCTCTCTCTGACCAGCAAGCCTGGGCTCATTCAGGATTTTGCTCAACACCTTTCTCTCACTCTCTCCAAGACCTTCTTTCAAAGAAGTTGGTAGAGTGGGCTGCTCATTATTTTACTTTTGAGTTGTTGAGAACTTTATATCTTTTCTTTAATAAATCATTTTACTGGGGGGGTCTTACAGCTTTTATAACAATCCATACATCAGTTGTATCACACAGATTTGTATACATATGTTGCTATCATCATTTTCAAAACATTTTCTGTCTGCTTGAGCTCTAGGTATCAGCTCCTCATTTTCCCCTCCCTCTCCCACCCTTCCACCCTTATGGACCCCTGATTAATTATAAATTATTATTATTTTCATATGTTACACTACCAGCTGTCTCCCTTCACCCACATTTCTGTTGTTTATCCCCTGCAGTCGGTTCTCCCCCTTCTCCCACCACCTTCCCCCACTCTCATGGTATGACTAATCCCATTACTGTGCCTGAAGGGTTTATCTGTCCTGGATTCCATGTGCCAAGAGCCCTGTATCTGTAGCAGTATACGTGCTCCAATCTAGCTGGATTTGTAAGGTAGAACTGGGGTCATGATAGCGGTGGGGGGGGGGGGGGGCGGAAGCATTAAAGAACTAGAGGAATGTTCTGTGTTCTGTCGGTCCTATACTGCACCCTGGCCTACTCGTTCCTTCCTTGTGACCCTTCTGTGAGGGAATGCCCAATGTTTACAGATGGGCTTTGGGCCTCCACTCCAACCCCCATCATTTGCATCGATATGTTTTTTTGTTTGGGGTCTTCTGATACCTGTCAACACCTCATGATCACACAGCTGGTGTGCTTCATGAAGCCTGGAGCTAACGGAAAGGTCTGCCGGTTGGCCCCAGTCCCAGCTACGTAGAACCCCTCCCCAGAGGAATGCACCAGAGAAGAGAGCACTGAAGATACAGCCCAGGGAGAGTAACGGGTCTGCCCAGATCATACAGGAGCAAACTAAGAGGGAGAGAACGAGAGAAGGGAGAAGAGAGGAGAGAATCCTATCCTGGCCCAATTATCCTCAAGGACGATATTCCTGCTCAGAGCAACCAATGCACAGAGAGGACCGGGGGGCTGGTCCCACCATGATGCCCCTTTCCTGACCCACAGTGCTATGGGGACAGCACTGGAGACACAGTGTGGGAATTATGTCTGGTCTGCCACGCTGCCCCCACCTCCCACCAGAGTGAAACACAAAGGGAGTGCAACAGAGCAGCAAGGGGGGGCAAAGAAATGAAGTCCGTAAGGAATCCCAAAAATGAACTTCGGAATTGGTGGAGAGGGCTTGGCACTTCACCAGATGTGGTGGGAAAGCATTCATAAGGGTCAACAGACAGACCTGGAACTGTTTATAGACTTTTTATCTTTATTCTTTTTCTCATGTCGAGACATATAAGCATATAAGATAGGATAAACAATCCTGAGGAGAAAAGAATGGGGTCGATGGCTCTGGGGGTGGGGTAGGGGTGGAGGAACAGGGGAGAAGAGGAGTGGGGAGAAAGTGGGTGGGGGTGGGGGGGCCAACAAACCCAGGGACAAAGGAACAAAAGATCTAAACTCGATGGTGAGGAAGACGTGGAACGCCTGGTGGGGTTTGATCAAGGGCAGTGTAGCCAAGAGAAAATATTGAGAGCCAAATGAAGGTCAACCATGATAGTGCGACAAGAGGAAAGTAAAAGGAAATAGAGGAAAGAACTAGGAGGCAAAAGACATGGATAGAGGTATAAATATAGACATGCACATATATAAATATGTTAATATATAATGATAGGGATATAAGTTATGTACATATATTTAAATGTTAAGTATTAAGGTAGCAGGCAGGCATTGGGTCTCTCTACTCAAATACTCCCTCAATGCAAGAACATTTTGTTCTAATAACCTGGCGATGCACACCTTCCTGACATGATCGCTGAAGTCAAAATGGTTGCATATGCAAATGTGGTGAAAGAAGCTGATGGTGCCTGGCTATTAAAAGATATAGAGTCTGGGGTCTTAAAGGCTTGAAGTTAAACAAGTGCCTGTCTTGCAGGGAAGCTTTTCTTTTCTTTTTTTATTTTTTAACAGTTTTATTAGCACTTCATGTGTCATACAATTCAATAATTCAATCATATCAAGAAGAGTTGTACAATTCAATTATCAATCACTTTTTATTGTTTCTGTAAATAAAGTGTATTGACCAAGAGAAATTTGAAATAAAATCATTACCACCCGTAACTTAAAATCATTCTCTATATTTAACTAGCAATTTTTAGTTATCGCTCCCTATAAATATTCGGGGTAAAGAATTATAAGGAACCATAAACTGTTTTCATCAACTCCTCCTTGCCCAGGGCTCTTTCCCATTTCTTTTGTCCACCTTGTTAGGCCGCTGAATTTCTGCCTCTCATGTGGCCCCTACCTGCATGGCTTTTAGAGACCTCTGCTCCATCTTTCAGCTTATAAAATTCTGCTGGCTCCCGTGTATTAGTTTCACGGTCTCCTAGCCTTAGTGTCTTGTGGTGCTTTTCCCTCCAACATTATGTTTTTACTTTGGTTCTGTGGGTAGATCTTGATGCCCAGCATGAAGGAGAGTCCCTTTCAGTCTGCAACCACTTTTTATTTTCTGCAAAATTTTATGAATGAGGGCTTGGCTATAGGCCTAACCAAGAAGCTTCATAGTCACTCAGGATTCTGCCACAATCAAGGCAGGTGACCCTCCCACCCCTCACCAAGAGTTTAGTTCAGATGTTGAGACTGATGATGCCAGGCATACATCAAGAGAATATGAAAAGTTGTATTACTTACATAGTTGCAGTCACTGGGAGGAGACAGCAAGCCTCTCAGGCAGGCCTGAAATGGCTTCAGAGAACAAGGAAAGAAGATTGGCCAAAGATTTTTATGAATGGATCCAGGGCAAATGTGCCCCAGGAAAGGATTTTGTAGTTTGAATCTCTCACTGGTGCCAAGGAGTGCTTATCATCTTGTCCAGATGTAAGCATTTACATCTGCTTTTCTTATTTGCAGCTCACCGGGACCTGATTACAGTTTCTCAAGCTTATCTAAAATAAAAGACAATATCTATATCAACATCTTTGATGAAATGACGATTGAAAAACATGAGGTAAAGCTGAACAATTATAATAATCAATGTCATTCAAAAAAGGTCATACTGAAAATAAAGTCTTATAAGCTATTCATAAATTTGCTTTTAGATATTTTATTTATACTCAACATTTTCTAAGAAGATTTGTGCAATATTATCAGATAGAAGACAAGTTAGTTTAAAAGAAACCCTATGGAGCAGAAACCATAAAAGCCATTATTGATTGGCTTCTTAGCTGTACCTCTTTGTTCATTTTTTAAATTGTTGCTCTAGGATTTAAAATAAATTCTTCAATTTACTGGTCTGCTTTATGTTAATATTATACCATTTCACACATCGTACAGGAGCCCTAGTGGTTGCTAACCCCAAGGTCAATGGGACCTTGGGATCAGCCGTTCTGCAGGAGAAAGATGAGGCTTTATGCTCCCATAAAGATTTACAGTATTGGAAATCCTAGGGGACAGTTCTGCTCTGTCCTATAGGGTTGCTTTGAGTCAGAATTGACTCAAGGGAAATGGTCTCACCTATAGTGTAAAATTAGTATATTACAATAGTATATCTCCATTTCCCTCCTCTGTACTTCGTGCTAGTGTTCAAACACACACACAAACTGGAGGCGTCACTGAGTTCACAGAAAAATTCCATCAGCTTTCTATTCCATTGTTCCATGAACTTTACATAAGATGAGTCAAAAATAGTCATGGATTTATTCCCAACAAAATGTGTTTAAACATGACTCTGCGTGTTTGGGCGGGTGGTTGGGTGCAGACAAGGAATACACTTTTCTTTGTCTCATTAGGGTGACTTTAAGTAATGATGATTTTTTGTATCATAGGAAAAAAACAAGGTTTAGGTCAGGGATGATATCCCGTTCTTAACAAACCTGGAGTGGACATTTCTGAAACTTTGCAATAAAGTTTACGTGAATGCTGCCTCAGATAAAACAGTAGATCAGTCATTCAAAGGAAGAGCATGAAGACGTCAAAGAGGAGCCACGAAAAGAAAGACTGTCATCCTCATCAAATGAAAGCACTGTAGCTGAAGCCCAGAAACAGTGGGACCCGGCCATAGAGTTAACCTAAGTTTGATAATGCCCAATGTGGTTTCCCTTGATTTGGCATTTTCTATTGTAGTTGAATTCCTCGGCAGTTTGGGACTCTGGGTGCACAAAGAGCTAATGGAACGAACCACAGTGGGGCCAAGTCTTGGATTTAACAATATGATCCAGAGAAAAAGGTCCAATTCGGATAGTGGCTGCCACGGGGACCTGCTGGGCCAGTTATCGTCACAGCAAAAAGGATAGCTCAGAAGGTTACAATGATGGGTTGGGGGTTATTTTTAGCTACAAAGGGCAATCTTGATAGATTTTCTTCTGCGTGGTTTATGTTTACATGAAAGAGAGTGGTTTTCTCTGTGTGAAACTATTCATCATGCATTAAATGAGTAAAAGAGAAAGTCTTTATTTCACTAGGACCATTGCCTCCAGAGCTGCAGCAACCACACCTACGTGAGGAAGAATTGGCTCGGGTCCATTGTTTTCCCTTTCTCCGCTCTTCTGCGACAGTCTGAGGTAACAGAAGTGTAGTTCATTGCTAAACACCCCAGACTTTGGTCGCTGGCTATTGAAACACTGTTGTCTTTCAATTCTGTGATTGGTACATTGGTAGATCTGTAAAAATGATTCTGAAATAGTGAACCTCTGGAATATTGAAGTATTAAAATTTTCTGTGTGTCTCTAGAATATGCACACACCAAAACAACTTCACAAATTAATTTCTTATATCTATAGAGTGATTACTGAAAAATAGGAGAGCTAACCTTAGACCTTCAAACAGTACTCATATTTTCATATTACAGTTTGCTATTCAGATTTGAGCTGTGAACACTAAGTGTCACTTGAATCTTAGATTTTATGTGTTCTATTTGGTATGATTTGGGGAGTCTGGGAACACTCAAAATTTTTTTCCCCATATAAATCCATAGTAGTTGTTTCTTCATTCCATGCCATTTCAGTATACAAGTGTCAGAGGTCTTCTCAGATAGCAAGGGAGACCTGGATTTATATTGCACCTAAAAAGACATCCAGCTGCTAGTGCTCAAGGATGGGCTCAGTACTCCGAGCCCCTTTGGTCTCTCTAGACCCACTGGCCTTATCAGGTGGCTTTCATCTTCGTGGTTTGGTTGAATATTCATTACTCCTACAGCCTCATCTCCATGTTGTAGGTAGAAGAAGGAGCGAAGCCAGCAAGGACAGTATCTGGGTCAGGACAACAGACAATTCCCTAGAAAACCCCAGCAGACTTCTGCGTCCATGATTTGTGTGATGTGACCACTCCACGTCTACAATGGCTGCGAAGTGAAGGAGGGAATAGCTAGTAGACAGGAAAGTAGAAGAGTCTACATAATGAGCGGTCACTCCCAGTCACAGGGAACATGTTGCAAATACAAGTGCTGCCAATAATGAGCAATAGAGATCGCTGTTTTGAGGGCTTCTGACATTTGTAAACCCGCAGGGATGTAAACCCTCAGGGTAGCACAGAGAGGTGGTAAAGAAGGTAGGCATTGGGGGAGGGGAGGGGATAAGTGAGAGAATGTAGGCTTTGGAGGTGAAAAAGCCTGAGTTGTAATCCCAGCTCCCCTACTCTGATAGTGTGTTAAACTCTCTGACCTCAGTCTCCTTATCTGTCGAATGGAGATAAATGCAGTATCTACTTCATGAAATGATGGTTTTCTATATCAAGCACTTGGCACAATAAGTACTCAATTACTATTAGCCTTGATCATGGTCAGTACTTAATTACTATTAGCTGTTATTAGTAGTCATTATTATTGTAATTCAGCTCCTACCCTTGAACTCACTCCCTTTCTCTCCTCCGGACCTCTGGGCTATTATTCCTGCTACCACAATCTTCTTCTCTTTCTACCCAAAACAAACCCCCAGCTGTAGTTGCTCCTGACTCAGCTTCAACTACAGAGTAGAACCCCCTGTAGCATCTCCAGAGCTGTACTTCTTTATGGAAACAAAGGGCCACATCTTTCTCCCACAGAGAAGCTGGTGAGTTTGAACTGCTGACCATTAGGTTAGCAGCAGAGTAATTTAAACATTGGGCCACCAAGGTGCCTTTTTCATTCTAGACTCAGTGTTACAAAGGAAAAAAGCACATTTTCTAATCACTACTATTGCTCCACTGGGGTGACTTGCTTCCTCATTTCATGCCTTTCTTCCATAGTACACATTAGGCGAGGACCTAGGGTGCTGACTGGATCCGTGGAGAAGCTGACATTATTGCAAAGCACAGTATTAGTAGAACCAGGTTGTGCCTTTGCAAGCCTGTTCTCTTCAATAAGGAAGACTGAGGAGCTGGGCTCATAGTCCATTTTACTGATGTTTATCTTCATTGGCATAATATATTACATTGATATACTTTTTCAGATTAATGGAACATTTGAAGTAAATAGTCCACCCATTTTGCTTGGGTACACTTGGTGTAAAACTTTTGTATCTCCTAAAGAAGATTGCGATGGGCAGAGTCTGAAAGAATGTACCTATTTAAATATTTTTGCTACCATTGAACCTCAAATATCATATGCCACCTACAATCAAGAATCAAATAAGGTAGGCTTCACATTGAATTACTTTGAACTCTGTTGAATTATATACCTTTAGAAAGAGTGCAAGCCTTCCCGACACAACCGCTGATGACAAAGCAGGTGAATAAGCAAATGTGGTGAAGAAAGCTGATGGTGCCCGGCTATCAAAAGATATAGCGTCTGGGGTCTTAAAAGCTTGAAGGTAAACAAGCGGCCATCTAGCTCAGAAGCAACAAAGCCCACATGGAACAACATATCAACCTGTGTGATCACGGGGTGTCGAACGGATCACTGAAGACAAATGGGTGCATAAGCAAATGTGGCGAAGAAAGCTGATGGTGTCCGGCTATCAAAAAGTATAGCGTCTGGGGTCTTAAAGGCTTGAAGGTAATCAAGCGGCCATCAAGCTCAGAAGCAACAAAGCCCACATGGAAGAAGCACACCAGCCTATGCAACCACGAGGTGTCGAAGGGATCAGGTGTAAGGCATCATCAGAACAAAAAATCTTACCATAGTGAATGATGGGGGGAGTGTGGAGTGGAGATCCAAAGCCCATTAGTAGGCCACTGGAGATCCCCTTGCAGAGGGGTCTCGGGGAGGAGATGAGCCAGTCAGGGTGCGATGCGATGTAACAATGATGAGAAATACAACCTTCCTCTAGTTCCTAAAGGTTTCCTCCCCGCTCCCACTACCATGACTCGAATTCTATCTTGCAAGACTGGCTAGACCAGAGGAGGTACACTGGTACAGATAGGAACTGAAAATACAGGGAATCCAGGATGGATGAGCCCTATAGGACCAGTGGTGTGAGTGGCAAAACAGGGAGGGTAAAGGGAGAATGGGTAGGAAAGAGGGAACCGATTACATGGAACTGTGTGTGACCTCCTCCCTGGGGGACAGACAACTGAAAAGTGGATGAAGGGAGACGTTGGACAGGGCAAGATATGACAAAACACCAATTTATAAACTATCAAGGGCTCATGTGGGAGGGGGGAGCGGGGAGGGAGGGGAAAAATGAGGACCTAATGTCAGGGGTTTAAATGGAGAGAAAATGTTTTGAGAAATGATGTACAAATACGCTTTACACAATTGATGTGTGTATGGATTGGGATAACAGTTGTATGAGCCCCTAATAAAATGTTAAAAAAAAAAAAGAAAGAGTGCAAGCTGTTCTAAAAACTAGTAATATTGATTCAAAGCTGATAACATTAGGCATTGGTTCTTGATGTTTTCCTATGGGAACAATAAGTACAATATTGAAATACCTTAAATTTGGTTCTAGTTTTCAGATAAAATAGATGTTTTGGAGCGAGCACAGAATTTTCAAAAAAATTGTAAGGCTATGTTTCCTGATCGAAGACTCATAACTACTGTTTTTAATGATGAAGGGATAAAGACCTTAGTAACAAGATATATCAAGGCATTAAATCCACCTCAACAATTTCTGGATATTTTTCTTCATGATTCTAATGCAACACTTGTAAGTTTAATTATTTTTAAACAGCTTTTTTGATACGTAATTCCCATACTATACAATACTACCCATCTAACTGGCTTATAGTAAGATTACAACCATCACTCTAAATATTTTTCCTAAAATTGTTTTGCCTTCAAAGGGATATTCCTAAGAGAGAGAGACCATTCAGTGAGTCCTCCTGAGCCCCAGACAGAGGGAAATGTTTCTTCCTGACCCCTTGACTTCTGCCCACTTGGAATTGAGAATTACTATCACCACGTTAGTCCATAAGATTATACTGGCTTCGTTCACTGTTTTTCTTCTAACCACGGAAAACTGTCTCCAAAAGAAATTTCTCAGATTTCCAGGAAAGAGAAAACTTCTATTCCTGACCGTGGTGTGCTCTGAGGATTGTTTCCATTATATGCAGGAGTGAAGAGGTTATTTTATGTTTTGTTCTATAAACAGTCAACCCACCACCACCCACCCTCTACATGTGTGGCTTTATATATATCTACTTATCAGATGATAAAAAGGACACACATTCAAAATGTACTTTCATTTACAATAAAAATCTACTCAAATGCGCGAAAGAGCAAATGCCTTCTCCAATTTTGAATATTATCGTTAAGAAATTAGTTTTACTTAAAGATTATTTATGAAGATTGTTAGACCTTTTCTTTATTCGGGTTCAGTCTAGTCAGTTGTCTCTCCTGAGAACATCTGTGTTATTTGTAAGGTATAAACCTCCCTCAGCTGTACGCTGTAGCTGAAACCCGAAGTCCTGGTTGAGACTGTCTGTCCCGGCACGGGTTCTTCTTTTCCAGCATGGGTCTCTTCCTGCCCATTTCCGACACCCAGTACTACTCAAGGGGGTACTGGTCCTCTCAGGGTCATTTAAAAAATTGTCTTTATATTCTTTAAAAATGCCCGAATTTTAGCTCTATAGCTTTTCAAGGCTTGTGATCCACTTTTAATTAATTTCATGACGAGGTCACAAAGTACAGCCTATGTAGAAAATTGATCCTGTACATATTGGAGCTATTGTAGATCAGTTACAAATGTAATGGCTGCCTTAGGTTCTTGAGAAAAAACCCAGAATCATATGCAAGAAGGCTTCAAAAAGTTTGTGGAAAATTGAATGAAAACATAATCTTCCCGCAGACTTTTTAAAGTCCTCTTTCCCTCTCATACAAGGGGTTCCAAATTTATGATAGGGCTCTGGTCAATTTCTCCTAAGTCCTTAGTTAATTCTGATAAAGTCAAATACCTTTATTTTCCCCCGCCCCCAGTTTTCATTATTATCACCTTTAATTATCAGTATGTTTATAAATCTGATTTTGTCTTTGGGGGTTAATATGAAAAAATGATAACCCCCACAAATGATGCACTGCAACATTGTATGTAGTACATCTTACTAATGGTACAATATTTTAAAAATCAAGAATGGTGTAATAGCAGTGTGCCTTCACTCAAATATGTTTCAAGTTGGGGACCACCCATGTGTATGAGAGAAGCAAGGATAAGTCACAAGCGTTGGGGCGTACCAAAATCAAACCCGACTCTCTGCTATGGAGTCAACTCTGACTCGTCGTGACCTGTTGAGGGTTTCCTAGGTTGTACATCTTTACCAGCGCAATAGCCTTAAGTTTTTCCTGAGGAACAGCTGGTGGATTTGAACTGCTAATCTATTGGTTAGTAACCCAATGCTTATAGTTTATAACCAGCATATATTAATAAAAATAACTTTGATGGGTATTCTAACCTGAAGCAAGTTTGTTATTCCTCAACATCCCCCCCCCATTGTCCAAATGATTATGCTTTAAAGTCTTTGCATTTTAAATAATTTATTACAATAAAATATGATGGTTAACATGCACACCCTGTGGCTAAGCCAACTTGAACTCAATCCCAGAGACTAAATATAGTATATTAGCCAAGTGACTCTGGGCAAGTTGTTTCAGCACTGTGAGCTTAGACTTGTAGCATCAGTTAATGTGATAACACAGGTGAAGCACTGTGTTTGCAATAAGCATACAACACACAGGCAGTAAATATCAATTAATATTGTCCTAGGACCTCATCGCTCGATTTGTATCTCTGATTCCTTTCATGCCTGATACATTGGATGAAAATGATGATGGTTATGATATCTGGATGACATCAGAGGTAAAAAAAAAGTACCTTGTATTATAGTATCTTAATTTGCCTTTCTTTAAAGGTGCCTTTTAAAAATCATTATGTACTTACACTGTGCTTTACCTTGTGATGTTTTCAAGCACTTGATGATTTCATACATCATTTTTAGGTCTGTGGCAATCTATGGAATGACTTTTTAAGGATCAAAAGCCTTTTCCACATTGTAAGTAGTAGCGCGTGCGTTCTTCACTCCAGGAGAGCAGCATGTGACTTTCTCTAGAGCTGTGGCGGCAGTCAGGTAGAGCTGGCGGGGTCTGGAGTCTTCGGCGTCGCTTGGGCACGTGTCACGCTCTCCAGAAGCTCTCCCGGCCTGCCCTCCGCCCCAGCGGAAAGTTCCAGGAGCAGTGCTCTTCCTCAGCCCCTGGATGAAAGTGCTCTGTAGGGGCTGCTCGTTAAAGACATGCTCGCTGTGATACTTGGGACACAGTGATTCCAAAAATCATTTACGGTTTATCTCAAATGAAACTATAACTGGGAATCTTATGTTGGTGTTGTCATTTTCTAAATCTGACCACCCTACTTAGAGTGCTTCTTCCATTCCACATTGAATTATATTTATCTGCTTATATGCCTGATAACAATATATCTGATAGCAAACCCACACCTTCTACACACACATCCCAATTGTACTCTTAAAAGCCAAAATAGACCAGATTTTTATTTATTGCTGTCATTTTCACTGAACACTGCTTTGCATTCAGTAAGCATTCTATACTTATTTTAATAGGGAAATGGCAGTATGATTGTAATTCATGACAAGCCTATAGGAGAGAGTAGACTTACCCCTGTGGGTCTCCAAGACTTTAAATCTTTACAGGAGCAGACAGGCTTGTTTTTCTCCCAAGGAGCAACTGGTGGGTCCCAACCACCAGCAGGTAGTAGTAGCTTAAGGCGCATCCCACGCCACCACCAGGGCTCCTTGGGTCAAATATGAGAACGTGTTACTCAAACACACTGGCATTCATTCAATTCTGACTTAGACCCTCAAGGACCCGGGAGAACTGCCCGTGGCTCTCTGAGGCTGTAACTCTCTCTGGGAGCAGAAAGCCTCATTTTTCTCTGAGGAGCAGCTGGTAGTTTCTAACTGCTGGCTTTGAGAGGTTAACATCTCCCCCTGTCCCCCCCCCCCCCCCCATGCATATGCTCCTTAGCCAGGGTGCTCCTGAGAGGAAAGGTTGGTGACATTTTGTCCCAAGTACTTTGGACATGTTGTCGGGAGGGACGAGGCCCTGGAGAAGGACATTGTGTTTCATACAGTAGTGGGGCGGCAGAAAAAAGGAGACCGCCAACAAGCTAGATTGACACCAGTGGCTGCATTGATGGGCTCATTGACATTCGTGAGAGCTGTGCTGGCTTGTCATTGTAAAGGGGCACAGTAGTGAGGGTGGCACAGGACCAGGCAGCATTTCATTCTGTTGGATCACTGTGATTCTGAATCAGTTCGATGGCACCTAACAACAACTGCAGCAATAGCCAATCTGATGGGACGTCTCCCATGCCGAACTGAGCCTATTATGATGCTTATTAGAATGCTCCCTTAAAGCGAGCATTGAGCTGAAATAGACTTATAGGGCACAGGGCTGACTTTAACTTACTAAGCCAAGCTTCATAGGTCAGCTACGTTTCTTCTGGTGAGACTAAGGGAGCCTCAGAATCATGTGACTCACAGGTAGAATTCAGAAAGGTGTCGTTCACACTAAGCACTTCTGAGACCCTTTGAAGTCATCAGAATGAGTCCAAGGCCTTCTGAGTCTGCGGAGTATTTGAAGAAGCTGTGTTAAAAATGACCCTGTGTGTGCTAACTAGTAATATCCCATGTCCTCCCACCCCAATATTCATAATTAAGATCCATAACTAAAAGGTTACTACAAGCGTGGAATTCTTTTTGACTAATGCCTTCTCAGAACACGAGCTTCTTGGTCACAGGACACCCGTGAGCTTTTCACAAAGCAAAAGTGCGTTTCTCCTCATGAGTAACCATCAGCAGAATAGCCCTTCCTGTCGGCTTTAAACATCCTCTCAAAGCATCCCTCCCTTTTAAGAACTGGTCCATATCTTGGAAATGACAATCCTGTCCACTGACCTGACCAGTTTAACAAAAAGAACCCTGGTTCTTCATAAAAGCTGTGCCTGCAATTGAGATGAGTTGTCACCAGGAGACACTAGGTCTTTGGTCATCTAGCTTGGTAGTAATCAGTAATTGTGGTTTATTTGAGATTTCAGCTCTCACTTGTCATTCCAACATGAGTGGCACATACTTTTAAAGGATATCAAAGTTAGGGTACCTGAAGTACAGCCAAATGAACATGACTTCTTAAAATATATTTAATGCACAGTCTCATTTCACAGCAACTGAAAACCGATCAGAGTTTTAATACTACCTCCCTTCCAAAGTTATTAGCCAATTCCAAATGAAGGAGAGGGGAATGGTAGAGGCTTTGACAGCATTCCTTAATAGCATGCCCTCAAATCCCCCCTTCAGGCTGTGGAGAAGAAGGGAGCTGTGGAAAGGGCCAGACAATCCTGCCTTCGAATCCCAGTTCACGCATTTAATTGTTATATGACCCCAGGTACATTAGTTTATCCCTTTGAACCTGATTTTCTTCCTGTGTTATGCAGGGATTTTGAAGGGAATAAATGAGATCACAAATGCAAAGCACTTAGAAACCCGGAAAAAAGTTATGCTCTCATCCGCCTTCCACCCTCTTAGGAAATCATCGCTTGATATGGATCGATCGTGGCTTGCACTCTGCTCGTAGCTCTCCCTCAGAAAGACCGCCTTACCCCACTCCCAAACTCCCTCCCTCACTGTCACACGCAGCCAGTATGTACTTTTCTGACCTGTCATTTGTTCACCATCAAAATGCTTCCGTACTGACTGGTAAATAGTCTCGGCCAAGAACTGCTAAGATTCCCAGCCCCTCTCCCTACCTTCCACAGCCCCTTCTCTAGAATGAAATGAAGTGGCAACACACATCTTACTAAGTGGTGCAACAACGGGTTATTGCCATAGCAACATTTGGGTAATGAATCAAGATTTTTAATGTAGAATCCGCCACCACCACCACCCCCGCCCTTTTTTTAAACTTGCTGAACCCAAACAAAACACACCAACAGACTCGAACTGGTTTGTGGACCACTAGTCTTCAACTCAGCGAGCCTTACTAAACCAACACACCAAACCCCTGCTGCGGAGCCACTTTCCACACAGGGAAACGCTGCTCACTGGAGTTCACTTGGTGGTCATCGTTACAGAAAGAGATCACCAGGCCTTTCTTCCAAGGCACCTTTGGTGGGTTCAGACCGCCAAACCAGATTACAAATCAAGAGCAAACCGTTTGGGTCACGCAGCGAGCTTCTCCTTCAGTAGGCACCCAGTGTTTGATCTGTGACACCCAGATTTGCTATTCGGCAACTTAAATGAAAATAATTAAATCTTCCTGATGGAGCACCAATGCATAGCTTTTTCTTTGTGTTAAGAGTGCTATACTGCTACAGGGGAGAGTGTACATAGCTCCACTGACCAAACCATCGCTTCCTCCCCCAAAACACGATGTGATTCTCCACCAGACAAAGTTTCTCAAAATACCAGTGCATATGTCAATGTTTGCCCAGGATAGTTTAAAATATGCCCTAGACAAAAATGTCCCATTATCTTAACTGGCACTGCACACAATATCCACATAAGTGTTTGATAGTGAAAGGGTGACCCAGTGTTCCAAATAGTCTTCTGTCCTCAGGCCAAAGGAGCCACCGTGCTTGGCTTTGCTGTCATTCATCTCAGCAATGTAAAAATAAAAGTGCTTGAAGCTACAGGGAGTAGGTGGGCTCCACATCTGTTGTGTGCTTGAATTACTCAGCTTCCCTCTTTTTTTTTTCTCCCCCCCCCCCTTGTTACCTTTTTATCGTAGCGTTGCATCAGTTTGGCAATTGGAAACAAAGAGGAACATGCCATTCTCCTCTGTAATTTCTTTTTGTATTTTGGAAAGAAAGCCTTGGTCCTCCTGGGAACTTCAATGTTGGAAGTAAGTGCTGGGGCTAATGTTTGAACTGTGGAAACAAGACTCAATCATATTTCTGCTGCAAGTTTAAAAGACTTCATCCCCAAGTTTCCACTTTTATTCCCAAAGTAGTAAGGACATTTTAAGAGAAAAAAAATTGTTAGCTAACAAAAGAAGTATGTGAGTTCATCAGAATTTCTGCAGTGTAGACTGGCTTCATTTCGTTGTTCTCCAGTGCAGACTGTAGTGATAACAGTCTCACTGGGAGTGTTCTGGGAACATCAGATTATGGCTGTACGCACTGGCTTTCGGCAAACATCCGATGCAGCGATGGTGCTAGCTATGTAGCGAGGCTACCACGGTAGTTAGTGAGGATTGTGATCATCAACACTGCACTCCACTGTTCATTGAGCTGGCTTTTACTCATCCACGAAGGGGGTCTAAAATCCCTATCTGACCTGTTTATGACCACATTTCTTTACTATGTTGGCCTTCATTCCTCCAGAAAGCTGTCCTCCTTTGTGTTTCTTAATATACCATAAATACTTTAATAAATTCCAACATCTATAATCTTGTCATTTAATTTTTGTCCTTTATTTATCCATATCGTCTCGGCATATCTTACTCTTTTGAGTCAGTTTTGTTAACTAAAAACTTGTGGCTAACGTCCCATAGCTTTTAGTTGTAGTTTTAATTGCCACTAGATGGCAGTAAACAGCCAATAATACTTTAGCAAATACTTCTCTAGGTACCTAGGTACCTTACCTAGGTAAGCCAATCAGTTCCTTGGGAGGCAGCCATGTGGTTTCACCTCTGCTGCATGGCTGATTCTGTTGGGTCACCGTTCTTTGGAATGACCCAGTTGGTGGGCCAGGTGGCTGTCTTCCAAATTCTTTAGAATAGATGAGTCTTGCATTCTTGGTTGACGCTTCTCAATTGGTATTCCTTCATTTCCTGAAACCTAGATTTTGGCCAGTGTCTTTGTGAAGCTTGGACTTCTTCCTTCAAATACCATCAGCTCTTGATCACATGCTGCCTCCTGGCACAGTAACTGTGTGTTCCTTCCATCGTTCTTAGTTATTGTGGGGGGTTTACATATCTGATAATTGTTCCACTCAACAGTTTAAACAACTTATTAAAACACACAATACCTTGCCTTGTTCCTTCCTCTTCCTCCACCC